AAAAAAAAAAAAAAAAAAATTTTTTTTTTTTTTTTTTTTTTTTTTTTTTTTTTTTTTTTTTTTTTTTTTTTTTTTATATTTTTTTAAAAAAAAAAAAAAAAAAAAAAAAAGAAGAAGAAGAAGAAGAAGAAGAAAGAAAAGAAAATATAGAAAAATGGGACGAGAGTCTTCTGACTGAGTAATGATGTATGAACTTTTATTTCTCGGCCATTGTTTGCTTGATCTAGATCGCGAAAATTAAGGAAAGATTTTTCAAAAGAAAATCTCAACTACCATGAATTTCTGTAAATGGTCATGCGACCACAAGCCGACCACATAGGCCAATTTTTCGACCTTCGATTTTATTTTTATTCCACAGTCATAGTATTGTTCGGTCACATAGAACAAGTTTTTATCCGTTTTTTTGTTTGAATTTCTAGTGGTTGTTGGAGTTTGTCTTGCAACTTTTTGAGTGTTTTTGGCAGCAATTCGTATGGTTTAATTGGGGCCTATAAATAGATGGTCAATGTTCAAGGCAAAAAGATGAGAATCAAATCAATTTTGAAACAAATTCATTCCGCAATAGAAGAGATCAAAACTTCTAAATTATGGTTTTGTGTTCTTGAAGTTTTAGAGAATTTTCATTTAGCGCTTGAGTAATTAATTTTTTTTCAAGACTTGATCAATCCTGCAAATCATTTGTCGATAATACCTTAACTACCAAATCTATTCAAGAGGGGTTAAATATAGTTTGAAGACAACGTTAATGTGATTGAGACTTCATTTTAATTTTCATCTTCTTGTTATTTCTTCTTTGTTTTCTTCTCCATTCCCTCTTTGTGCAAAGATATATTTTCCAACAAGAATATGGTGCAGTATTTCAAGCTGCACATGTTCCTAAAAAAGACTGAGTTTACATCGGGAGCATTTATAGTTTCGGAATTGCAAATTTTAGTAGAGGACTCGACTACAAGATGACGACAATGGGCAGACCAAATTGTAACTTGGAAAAACTTTGTAAAAAGAGTTGAAGGATTAGATTTTTACCTTGCCATACTAAGTAGATAGCAAGGGAATCATTGAGAAATACGAAGAAAAAGGACACGATGCAGGAATATGTGAGGGAATTTTGTTCGTTGATGCTATATCAAGAGCAATAGGCACATGCCGAATAGCGAAGGAATGAGCGGAAAACGTACCTTCGACAATTGTTGCTTTGATGGTTTGGTATTATTTAAGATTGGGAAGTGATTCCTCCTCCACGAAGAAGCATTATGATGGCAAAAAAGGGGGAGGAGGGAACTTCAAAAGGTGGGCCAAAGTTCGACAAGCGGGATTAACTTTAAAATCTAAAAAAGGTGATTCATTTAAAAGCAAGTGAAAAATTATGGTAGTTGTTTCACTTGCCACGTGCCTAATCATGCTCGAGACCCTCCAAACAAAGAGTGTTTTATTATGTTGGTCAAAATATGATTATTTTTTTGTAAAATTTTCATTTCTTTGATTATTAAATTATTGCCCACATTGAAATAAAATTCTGGCTCTACCCATGGTCATGGCAGATTAAAATTAATGGAACATGTCATAGTCGTCTAGATATTTTAGCTTTTATAACCATTGAAGAAGATTTGTGTAAGATATGTAATAAATTTGTGAACTTGCCTCGTGACCAAGGAAGTTATAAGCAATACAATTATGGACCTCATAGAATTTGACCATAGCTCAAAATGACGGCATACTTAACACATCGGGCAAAAACTTGTATTTCCTTGGATGAATCTCAAGTTACCATTGATACATTGTAGATCGTGGAGCAAAAGGTGTATGCTTGAAGGGAACCATCTCTAATTAGGTAATATTGGAATCGTTGGCCTCTTTGATCGAACTAGTTAATGGATCTCAGATGCTAAAATTTACTTTGTAAATAACAAAATTTCGAGTCTACTTATTATCATGAATTTGATTCACAAAAAACTATGGGATAACATCAATCTTTCAATAAATTTATTGTATTTGTGCAAACAAAGTTTTATAGCCAACCCCGAATTGTTGTTTTACGTCANTGCATGATATAAGAGGTTGCAGATGCATATTCTTGATCCGTTATGATCATGATAATAAAGAGGTAAATAATAAATGTTCACTCATTGGATTTACAGTGAATTCATATTTTTGCGATTTTTCTGTCGTCTGCTGTAACCTTTTGTTCCTTGGCATTAGGAAAGAGTATGTCTAAAGAGATTGTGTTGCCGGCCCGACAAACTAGCGCAACCAGAGATAAATTAGCTGGGGAAAGTGGTCACTACTGACACTTATCGGTTTCTGAAGGATTCTTAGCACAAATTTTGTTGCGTAGACCTTGGTTGCTGTTGTCATTATCGAGAAAATTTTTGCTGCCTAGTGATCTACGCCCGATTCTTATTAATATTGCAATTTGATATCAAATGTAAATCTATTGAGTATACAATCTGTGATGAGAATCGTTCTTCGAAAAATCAATAAGTAAATAGTGTGGAATGAGAGAAAAAAATAAATAAATAAATAAATCTGGTGGCTGGAAGTTTGGCTTATGCCAAATGCCCATGCGGTTGCATGAACTAAACGCTCACATACCTTGTTCTATGCGATCGCATAGGTTTGTTTTATGCCGTCGCATAGGACAAATATGTTATCATTGGTGACTGTTTTTGACCGTTTTGGTTTAAAAGTTTGGAGGCTTTTCACTGCATTTTGGTTCAATTTCGTGTAAACTAAACCATGCCTATACATAGGTAAGTTTGTTCGAGGCACAAGTATTAAAAAACTCTTGTGATCACACACTATTCAACAAACAAAGATCAAAACTTTATTCTATTCAATATTCAGAGTTCTTCTTTTGTGCTCTTCAAGTTTTGGAAGCTTTCACTTGTGCTTGGTGATCTAATGTCGGGTAGGATAGTGATTATTCTATAGGCTTGTTATAGTAGATGATTCGCAAGAAAGAAAAGGAAGAAAACTCCCAAAAAATCAGAGAAAATACTCTGAAATCAACTCAATATTATTAATAATGCCGAATGACCAAAATTAATTCACAAGTTGGGTTAAATAACTGTAAAATACGAAATTATAGGAAAATTACCAAAAATGACAAAATTTTGAAATTACACCAAAATAAAATATTAAGTAAAAGAAGTAGATTGTCAAAAATTTGGCTCAATTCGAGTTTTCTAACATATGAAAAAAGGAAAACGAAATATTACCATAAATGGCAAAAATAACTAAAAATTGAATTTCGAAAAGGAAAACAACGAATTTTGGGCTTGAAATTGACGCCCACCGAGCATAGTTGGGTGGCCACGACGTGCATGCCGAAAAGAGTTTTTTAAATTGGGGTCATAATAGCGATTCTGATAATCGTAACCAAAGTGGCCAAATTACCAAAGACGTGTCAAATTTCCTCAATCAATGAAATAATTGGGATTCATTTCCCATCTTTGCGCCGATCCACAATCTCATGGTATCTCAGCGCTATTATCGTGTTATCTGACAAATCAGCATCACTCGAATCGAATCCTCCTACATCAGTTGGCCCGAGTTGGAAAGAACTCACCCTTGAGTTTACAATAGCTTCATAGGACTCCACAAAACAAGGGCTTAGGTGTTTCACATTGAAGACGTCAGATGTCTTGGCTAGGGAGGCGCAACTTGTAAGCATTATCATTGATCTTCTGCAGCACTTCACAAGGTCCAATCTTCCGCTCCTTTAGCTTATTGTAATCCCCAGCTAGAAAACGATCACGAGTTAATGCTGCTCAAACAAAATCACCAACATCAAACAACACCTGGCGCCGATGACTATTTGTCTGAGTCTTGTACTTAGTATTACTATCCTGTATAGACAGCTTCACCTGCTCATAGATACCTCGAAGATGTTCAACCATCTCATCAGCTTTGTTATTGAAGTGACCCACATGTGGAATTGGAACCAAATCAAGTACCCCGGATGCGTTCTGACCATAGACAATTTCAAAAGGACTCAATTCGGTGGTTCTATTCCTCGACCGGTTATAAGCAAACTCTGCTTGAGGTAATGCCAAATCCCACTACTTTGATTTAGTCCCTGCCAAGCTTCTCAAAAGATTTCCCAAACTCCGATTCACCACCTCGGTCTGACCATCTGTTTGGGGATGGTATGCGCTGCTAAAATTCAACTTCATTCCAAGTTTCTCCCATAAACTCCTCCAGAAATGACTCATAAACTTAGTGTCAAAGTCAGAAGTAATTGACTGTGGAACACCATGTAAACGCACAATCTCTCTGAAATAAAGATGAGCAATCCGAGTAGCATCCATTGTCTTCCGGCAAACCACAAAATGAGCCATCTTTAAAAATCTGTCAACCACAACAAGAATGGAATCCATCGCCCGCTGTGTACGAGGTAAGCCCAAATATATATATATACACACACACACACACACACGCTCACACTTATATTTTTAGTTAGTTCAGAGACTCGAGCCCCGTGGCTGCAAAATTTATCGTTAAATGAATCTCAGGCCAAGGAATAAACAGCCATTCTCCGGCTTCACTAAAGCCGAGGTCTTTATCTAATCTTAAGATTCTATTTTTAACACCCGATGAGCCATTTTAAGGGTTCTCTGTTTTTTCTTTTGGGGGTTATTTAACGAGTTTTCAACTGTTTCAAGCGTTTAAAATTTCTGGGTTTTCAAGACTCTAATGCATATATTCAATGTGTTTCTACGATGTTCGCGGGAGCACGTTCTTGGGCGTGTTATGAAAGCATGTTTGAAGATATTGGCATTTGGTCAACAGTGAATTTTGGGTTCTGGTTTATTTGGGAAAATTCACAATTGTTATGATGTTGAATATAGTTTGGTGCTAAAGGAGTTAGTTATTTCTACTATCTGATTTTTATCCTGCGCTGTCATATATAGGGATTCATACAATTTTGTTATTTGATTTATCAGATTAGTGTGTTATGTAGTCCGGTATCTTTGCTTATCATTTCTGAATGATCCTTGATTAAAGAAATTAAAGATTAGCTTAGTTATTAAACTCAATTTGGTAAAGATCTCTGGCTGTTTGATTGCATATATTCTTTATTCATAAAAGAAGTCGTGTTAGATCAAATTAATTGCATTGATTACCGTTGATCAGCAAGGAATATTGGTACCTAGGTTTTTATAGTTAAATTTTAAACTTTTATGACCAATTGTTCTCAATGCTTCAACGACCGAGTCGAAATGTTAGTTGACACTTAGTACATTTAATGCAATTTAATACTTAAATGACTTCAAATGCTATGCATTGATATCTTTGACTATGTGTTGCCAAGAAATTTTATTTAAAATTCTCTCCGTTGTAATAGCACTCAGAGAATTTGGACAATCATCTGGGAACTTATATTGTTTCATCAATCAAACAGATTGAGAAGATGGAGCATTTACTTAAAGAGTACAATGAACAATCGCTGGATGAGGAGTTCTATAAGAAACTTGCAAGAGATTTTAGGTGAGCATTTTACTTTTGCATTAACTATCAATTGTGTAAAACCTTTGATATTGCTTAAAGATGCTCGAAAACACCTGTAGCAACTCCTTACTTTTGGCATTTTGTTTGCAGCCGTTCGAGTGGTCGTGCAGGAAAACCTGCAGTGAAATGGACTGAGGTCTTATTATGCATTTTTTATTTCATAATTACGCTGATCACAACTCAACTGTTGTCTTGCTTGGATCTTTATAACATGCACGTCACTCTTCTGTTATATTAGGTTCAAATATGGTTTCAAAAGAGGCAACAAAACTGCCTCTCTAAAGAGACTTCATGCGATGCACCCAATAATCCACCTGCTGTGTCAGATGCTTGCATTTCTAATAAAGTTAGTGGAAATTTTCAGGCTCCCAAAGGCATGTACTACTGCTTCTCTTCAGCTTTAACCCTCTACAAGTATCTGGTTGTAATGATTACAAGTGGTCTCTCTGCTTGCAATAGGCTCAACTTTTAAAATTCTCATTTAACAAATCAATCACCAATTAGAGATACAGCCTCTGCATTAGAATATCTGTTTCCTTTGTCTTCTTTGGCATGTGTACCATGTTGCTTCTCATTCTTATTTATTTGTATATGTTCTCCATGGGTTGTAGAGGGAGAACTGGTCCTTCCACAATTTGAGGTAAATTTTATAAGAGAAACTTTTTATGTATGTTAATGTGACAATGGCATTTGAATTGTATTTTCCTCAATTTCTCTTATGTTAAATTCCAAATTCAAGAAATTAATGATTTCTTTCCTTTTGATTGGGTCTTTGAGTGTGGGTATGGAGGAGCTTAAGATGCGAGAACTTTGACCTTTTGAAATGAAGCTCTTTTTTATTTGTTGGATGTCCTAAAATGGATAGTGTAGAAATAAATGTTAGATAAAGAGAATAATCAAGTTCACCTTTTGATATATTGCCATGTTTAGAAATTCACGATTGTTAATAATTTGAAAGAGAAAGAAACACAAGGGTTGGAGTCAGAATCTTGTTTCTCCACTATGGAGTATTTTTGAGATGATAGTACATACATGTAACTGAACTATTTAGGAAAACAGGATGAAGAAAGAGGAAAAGATTTTTGTGATACTTGTATTCCTATTGTTGGATTTTTGAAATGAAATTGAGCAAGAAGTTTGAAGGCATGGACACACTTGTCAGGAGTTGGAATGTTGTAGTCAGGATCTCTTCGATTTTGGTTTCTGGGGAAACTTTTGTTCTTTCTACGTGTTCCTAATTTCGTGTATGAGTTGATAAACTGATATGGTCCTTTGTAAAGTTTCTGGTCGTAAATTGCTTTATTGATGGCAGTTTTAATCAGCTAATCAGAACAGAAATGGAAGCATATGGCATCCTGCATTGATATAGTTTATCCTTAACGAAAGAAAGGCTTTCCGCATTTTTACCTTAGAAAGGTGAAAATAGCACTTGCATTTTACCACAGATTTAAGCATGTTTTGGCAAAGTGCACTTTGAGTCGAAACTCTGTTTGAAAGTCTAATGAACACCCACCCATCCACATTCCAGGATATGATTTTTCCTACATAAAAAGACTGACTTATTGAATATTTTCCTAACACACTAATGATATAAACAGCAAAAAGATTGAACAACTTGAGCTGGGCCTTCTTTCTGAAACTCCCTGAAGCATTTTGATTAATTTTCTATCATTCATTCTTGTCTCTTGGTGCCTAGGCTAAACATTAGTCACAATGGATTTGGTGTTGGTGTTACATGAGCTCTTTTTCGCATTCCGTTTGTTGCAGAGCTAACGTTTCCAATCACTTGGTTTTGGGAAACATTTTTCTTTTTTGGAGATTTGGATATGTGAAGCTCAATTCTACTTCTTCATAACTGAACAGTAATTGACTAATTGTTGGTTTGTGATTGATTTTTTTCCACGATGGTGGTAGTGTTGTCTGATGAACTGTTCTTTTTTTCTTTTTCTTTTTTTTTTTCTTTTTTTGAAATTGTAGTGACCAGAGTGTTGCTGAATTCTAGGCCACAGCACAGAGTTGATGTTGGTGATATGGTGGTTGGAATTTGTTCAAAGAAAAATTCCCAAAATCATTGTGCTCAGGAAAGGAAAATTGTTTTTGACATTGGTTCAGGTGATGCTAATGTCTTTTATATGAAAATGCCTTGTTTCTGATTTGAATTTTGAAAGACTGTCAGAGGGTAGCAGATGTAAGACTGGTTTTTCTCCCGTTTCAAATTGAATGACCCCTATTGATTGGCCCAATATTTTTAGGAGATGGTTTAAAGTGGCGACATCTACATAAACTTCCCAAATCTTTCACTTAAAGTCTGTTGGTTGTTCCACACATATATAGTTATATGCAAAAGAAATATTGGCAGATTTGAGTTGCATGATAGTTTCTCATTATAAATGGGCCATGCACAAAACTTATGGAAGATATTGATAGTCACTTTAATAATAAAATGAATTGCTAATTAATCTAAATGAGTCATATTTGGTAAAAGGACATTTATTTTGGGATAGTGGCTAGGGGTGGGCGCGGGTCGGTTCGGTTCGGTTCTAAAGAGAACCGAATCGAACCGAACTTTTTGGGTATCTAGTAAATGGAACCGTTGGGTCCAAATATAATTATGGAACCGTTCGGGTTCGGTTCGGTTCTGTACTATAATTAAATTTTTTAACATTTATAAAAATATTATATAAATACAACTAATAATACATTCAATGATTTTGGAATGTCAGAGACAAGTAAACTACCTTGTTCAAATGATCGCTACGATCAAAGTTTCGGTTGGCGAAGGTCACAGTTTCGATCGGAGGTCATAGTGTCGACCGATAATTGTATAGGTTTTGGAATATTAACGAGGCTGCGAGAGTGAGTGTGAGAGTCAAGACAACGTTATGCACTTTGGTGTTGGTGTTTAGGGTTATTTAGTGGATTTGATCTTGCTTGGCTAAGAAATGAAATAATAAAATGGGTAATTGGGCTAAAAATTAAAAAATTAGAAATGAAACAAATTATTGGACCAAAATTTTGGATTTAGAAATTGTTAATTTATTAATTTGTTTAGAAAAAATTAAAATAATTTGATTTACTCAATATAAAAAAAAAATTAGAAAGATTCGGTTCTTATTCGGTTCTTCGGTTTTAGGTCTAGAATCGAGAACTGAACCATATCCATCGGTTCTCAATTCAGATACCCGTTCAGGTATTTAATTTGACAAGAACCATCGGGTTCGGTTCGGTTCGGTTTGGGTTCGGTTCGGTCAGTTTGGTTCGGGAGATTTGCCCAGCCTTAATAGTGGCCATCGGTTCTGAAACATCCTAAAATAGTATGGAGACCGTTCAGTTTGAGACGGAGTATTTTTAGGCTTTATATATATAATGAAATATGTTTATTTGTTAAAATATTTGTGATTTTTTTTTTTAATTAATTAACATTCACAATCCCACAAGTTTCTCAGTTTTAGGAGATGGTGGCAGGTGAAAAAGTTCAAGATATATCCAAGATGAAGTTTGAAGCTAGGTCGTCAATTGATGGGGCATGGTAAGCCTATGTTTGGCACTTGATGAATATCTTTATGTCACTGATTTAAAATTGTGACTAACTATTTCCTGCATTTCCTCGTGCCTGCTTACTGACCTGCTTTCTGTCGCTAGTCGGTTTAATGGAATACCTGATCTTATAGTAGTCTTCTCTGCGAGTAACTTCAAATAAAATTTGTTGTATTTGGATGTTTAAATTGTTTAAATTATTGTATTTGGATGTTTAAATTGTTGGCATAGCACTCGGATATTGCTTTACAATGCCTTGTGTAGCATATTGGTTGTCTGCGACGTTGTTCTTTAATTGGCACTTTAGAATTTTCCGTATTCTTTGAAGTTGGCTATATTAGTATTCAGCTATCACCATGCTTTGTTAGTATAGTTTTTTGAGTATTCTATCAACTGCGTTCCAGGGCATGCATCAACCAAGTCAAATGGAGCAAATTCAATCTTCACCATGAAGCATAATGCCATGGTTCTAAAAAGAGCTTAAGGCTTATACCTTGAGTTTGCATCATCTGAGGTCTTCATTAAGTGCCTCAAAACTTATAGCATGTTTAATTAAGCTTGAATTAAAGAAAAAGTTAATCTTGAATAATTTACTTTTTCTTATTTTTGTGAAAAAGGCTACTTATTTTTTAAGTAGTCATAAGTAATTAATTTAAATTTGATTAATAAAAAAATAATTTATTATAAATTTACTTTTTCACTTATAAGTAAACCTTCTAAGCTTAGCTAAACATGCTCTTAAACTTTTTCGATTGACATTTGTTAAGGCATACGCCTCGAGATGGCTGAGATGTGCGCTTGTTTTTCATGCCCTTTCTGGCTTTTTACTACTGGACCTGAATCTTTTGGCTAGTTTACAATGGCCTAGAGCGTTTTAGCTGTTAGCTATTTTATTTTTCATTTACCTTTTTTTTAAAGGGAATTGGATAAAGAGAACAATTGAATCAGGTGTGCACTTGCCTTCTATAGCTAAAATGTGATGATCCCTTCTCCCAAGTGAAGTTTCAACCTTTGAGCAGAGGACCAATAACTGGAGACCTAGGACGCATAATTTCATTTGTTCCTTTCTTTATTAGATTTTTATTGTCTTCCGTGTATTTGTTTTTTTCTCCTCCAGATTTCTTTTAAAGTCAAAGAAAGCAAAATTCTTGAATAAATGATTAATTGTTCAAGTATGGATTAATGGTCTTTTTGTGTGATTACTTTGTTAATTTATTATTTGTTAATTTGTTGATCAATTTTAAGTTTTGAGTTGCTTTTAGTTTTGTTGAAACACTATTAATTTTTTAGATGATTATTGGTATATTTTGATTATAATTTTGTATTTTTGCAAATTTGTTAAATATTTTATTGGTTCATTTAGAGGATTACTCTTTGCTATGCAGGAGCAGAACGCCCGGTTTTCAGTTTAGCCCTCTTTTTCCCACATTACTTTACATCTTTTATGTTCATTTCTTGGGCTAAAATACAAGAGGAGAAATATTGGATACTTTCTATTATTGCCTGAATTATACAGCATACACTACTAAATTTGTTTTCTTAATGTTGTCTTATATGTTATTCCAGAGCATTGTCAACCGGCATGTTTGAATCTATATATATCATTTTAACATTTTTGTTGTTTTACAGGTACGATGTTGAACAATTTCTCTTGCACAGATGCAGATCAGGAGAAACTGTGAGTAGCAAAATTTAATTCCAGATTTCTCTTGTACGTTCCTGTTTCTGTGTTGATACTCACACGTCCACAATAGGAATGCTAATTCATTCTCAATTCTCACTCAACTCTGATGGAAAGTTTTTTCTCCTATAAGTTTCCAAGTGATGTTAAGCCTTTGGTATGATACTGAAGTTGAGACCGTCCAAAATGAAGGCAAAGAAATTTGCTTGCCTATCATTGAACTCAAGTTTGACCTGTTCACTGCAGCAAGTTTGCGTAAGATATGTTGGGTTTGGACGAGAGGACGATGAGTGGGTAAACGTAAAAAATGATGTGCGTGAACGCTCAATTCCTCTGGAGCATTCAGAATGCAAGAAAGTCGAGGTTGGAGATCTAGTAGTGTGCTTCCAGGTATGCGTTCTGATTTATGTTGGTTATTCTTCTGCTTTACCATCATGTAGTCTCCAGGCCTTTTGGCATTTTGTATTCCTGTGCATATAGTTTTTCTGTTCACCTTTTCTGATTCGCAAGAGATTTACTGTACAAAGTAGAATTTAAAGATGGAAATAATAACACCAGCAACTAAGAAAGGCCACTGGAAATAACTGTTGAAAATTGACATTCACTGAAGACGAAGTGTGCCTATATTTTTTTTAGCATGTAGAGAAGAAACATGGGATGGTGGACTCGAAGTTGAAGAATAATATGGAAAACGTGTTTAAAATGAAATAGAAAAAATTTGTACGCAAGATGGCGTTGCAAGCCAGTTTTAATACCGGCACATTTAGACCTCGAGTATCACGTCATAATGAAGTTAGAATATTATATTTTGGTCTACAAATAGCTTGCTTCTCTTCGATTCCAACTTTACATGCATCAGGAGAGTCAAGATCAAGCAAGATACTATGATGCTCATGTTATCGAGATTGAAAGGAGATTGCATGATATAAGAGGTTGCAGATGCATATTCTTGATCCGTTATGATCATGATAATAAAGAGGTAAATAATAAATGTTCACTCGTTGGATTTACAGTGAATTCATATTTTTGCGATTTTTCTGTCGTCTGCCGTAACCTTTTGTTCCTTGGCATTAGGAAAGAGTATGTCTGAAGAGATTGTGTTGCCGGCCCGACAAACTAGCGCAACCAGAGATAAATTAGCTGGGGAAAGTGGTCACTACTGACACTTATCGGTTTCTGAAGGATTCTTAGCACAAATTTTGTTGCGTAGACCTTGGTTGCTGTTGTCATTATCGAGAAAATTTTTGCTGCCTAGTGATCTACGCCCGATTTTTATTAATATTGCAATTTGATATCAAATGTAAATCTATTGAGTATACAATCTGTGATGAGAATCGTTCTTCGAAAAATCAATAAGTAAATAGTGTGGAATGAGAGAAAAATAAATAAATAAATAAATCTGGTGGCTGGAAGTTTGGCTTATGCCAAATGCCCATGCGGTTGCATGAACTAAACGCTCACATACCTTGTTCTATGCGATCGCATAGGTTTGTTTTATGCCGTCGCATAGGACAAATATGTTATCATTGGTGACTGTTTTTGACCGTTTTGGTTTAAAAGTTTGGAGGCTTTTCACTGCATTTTGGTTCAATTTCGTGTAAACTAAACCATGCCTATACATAGGTAAGTTTGTTCGAGGCACAAGTATTAAAAAACTCTTGTGATCACACACTATTCAACAAACAAAGATCAAAACTTTATTCTATTCAATATTCAGAGTTCTTCTTTTGTGCTCTTCAAGTTTTGGAAGCTTTCACTTGTGCTTGGTGATCTAATGTCGGGTAGGATAGTGATTATTCTATAGGCTTGTTGTAGTAGATGATTCGCAAGAAAGAAAAGGAAGAAAACTCCCAAAAAATCAGAGAAAATACTCTGAAATCAACTTAATATTATTAATAATGCCGAATGACCAAAATTAATTCACAAGTCGGGTTAAATAACTGTAAAATACGAAATTATAGGAAAATTACCAAAAATGACAAAATTTTGAAATTATACCAAAATAAAATATTAAGTAAAAGAAGTAGATTGTCAAAAATTTGGCTCAATTCGAGTTTTCTAACATATGAAAAAAGGAAAACGAAATATTATCATAAATGGCAAAAATAACTAAAAATTGAATTTCGAAAAGGAAAACAACGAATTTTGGGCTTGAAATTGACGCCCACCGAGCATAGCTGGGTGGCCACGACGTGCATGCCGAAAAGAGTTTTTTAGATTGGGGTCATAATAACGATTCTGATAATCGTAACCAAAGTGGCCAAATTACCAAAGACGTGTCAAATTTCCTCAATCAATGAAATAATTGGGATTCATTTCCCATCTTTGCGCCGATCCACAATCTCATGGTATCTCAGCGCTATTATCGTGTTATCTGACAAATCAGCATCACTCGAATCGGATCCTCCTACATCAGTTGGCCCGAGTTGGAAAGAACTCACCCTTGAGTTTACAATAGCTTCATAGGACTCCACAAAACAAGGGCTTAGGTGTTTCACATTGAAGACGTCAGATGTCTTCAAATGGCTAGGGAGGCGCAACTTGTAAGCATTATCATTGATCTTCTGCAGCACTTCACAAGGTCCAATCTTCTGCTCCTTTAGCTTATTGTAATCCCCAGCTAGAAAACGATCACGAGTTAATGCTGCTCAAACAAAATCACCAACATCAAACAACACCTGGCGCCGATGACTATTTGTCTGAGTCTTGTACTTAGTATTACTATCCTGTATAGACAGCTTCACCTGCTCATAGATACCTCGAAGATGTTCAACCATCTCATCAGCTTTGTTATTGAAGTGACCCACATGTGGAATTGGAACCAAATCAAGTACCCCGGATGCGTTCTGACCATAGACAATTTCAAAAGGACTCAATTCGGTGGTTCTATTCCTCGACCGGTTATAAGCAAACTCTGCTTGAGGTAATGCCAAATCCCACTACTTTGATTTAGTCCCTGCCAAGCTTCTCAAAAGATTTCCCAAACTCCGATTCACCACCTCGGTCTGACCATCTGTTTGGGGATGGTATGCGCTGCTAAAATTCAACTTCATTCCAAGTTTGTCCCATAAACTCCTCCAGAAATGACTCATAAACTTAGTGTCAAAGTCAGAAGTAATTGACTGTGGAACACCATGTAAACGCACAATCTCTCTGAAATAAAGATGAGCAATCCGAGTAGCATCCATTGTCTTCCGGCAAACCACAAAATGAGCCATCTTTAAAAATCTGTCAACCACAACAAGAATGGAATCCATCGCCCGCTGTGTACGAGGTAAGCCCAAGACAAAATCCATGCTGACATCAAACTAAGGAGCTTCAGGTATGGATAATGGCGTGTACAATCCAGCATTAGTAAGAGCTCCTTTAGACCACTGACATACATAACATTGCTCCACATAATGCGCCACATCACTGCTCAACTTTGGCCAGTAATAATTAGAGGAGACCAATGCCAATGTCTAGTCTCGCCCAAAATGTCCTTCGTTATGAAATTCACTAATAATCTGCTGCCTTAGTAAACAATCCAGAATGCATAATTGCAATCCACGAAACAGGTAACCATTATATAAAATAAATTCATGGCGGTGATTATCAGTTACCTTTCGAATTATCTTCCCAAATGAAGAATCTGCAGCATACATATTAGGAAATGCCTCAAATCCGACAATCTTGGTGCTCATGGTGGTGAGGAGTAATGTGTGACGGCTCAATGCATCTGCTACTCGATTCAAACTCCCTAATTGATGCCTTAGTGTGAAAGTAAACTCCTGCAAGTACGCCACCAACTTTGCATGTCGCCTACTCAGCTTGTGCTGACCATTGATGTACTTCAAGGCCTCATGATCAGTAACAACGATGAACTCCCTTTGTACCAAGTAATGACGCCAATGTTTCAGAGTCTGGACTATGGCATAGAACTCCAGGTCATAAGTGGAATAATTTTTCTTCGATCCCGATAGCTTTTCACTAAAAAAGGCTACTGGACGCCCCTCCTGACTCAGAACACCACCAATACTAATTCCAGACGCATCAGAGTTTACCTCGGACACCTTCTCAAAGCCCGAAAGTGCCAAGACTGGGGCCTCCGTCATCTTCTGCTTAACCAACTGAAAGCTAGCCTCTGCCTCCCCGATCCACTGAAAACCACGCCCTTTAAGACACTCTGTGACAGGAGCAATCAAGGTACTGGAGTTTCTGATGAACCGGCGATAGAAGGATGCCAATCCATGGAAACTTTTGACATCGTGCAAAGTTTTTGGCTTGGGCTAATTCAAAACTGCCTCAATTTTGGATTGATCTGCATGAACACCATCAGTAGACACAACAAAACCCAAAAAAGTTACAGAAGTTGTGAAGAAAGAACACTTATTCTGATTGATGAATAAGCTCTCCGTCTTCATTACATCAAAGAAAGCACGAAGATGATTAAAATGTGACTCCCATGTCGAACTATAAATAAGTATGTCGTCAAAATAGACCACTACAAACTTCCCCATGAAAGGCCTTAAAACTTGATGCATAAACCTCATAAAAGTGTTGGGTGCGTTGGATAGTCCAAAGGGCATGACCATCCACTCGTACAATCCATATTATGTCTTGAACGAGGTCTTCCACTCATCTCCAGGCCTGATTCTGATCTGGTGGTATCCGCTTTAAAGGTCAGTTTTTGAGAAGATCTTAGAACCGGACAATTGATCCAACATGTTGTCCAGGCGGGGAATTAGAAACCTGTACTTCACTGTAATCCTGTTAATTTCCCTGCTGTAACACACATATGCCACGACCCATCTTTCTTCGACACTAGTAGCTTAGGAATTGCACAAGGACTCATACTCTCACGAATGTAGCCCCTTTCCAATAATTCTACCACCTGTCACTGCAACTCTCCAGTTTCCTTGGGACTGAGGCAATATGCTGGTCGGTTTGGTAGACTCGTCCCTGGAATAAGGTCGATCTGATGTTGAATGTCCCTCATAGGTGGTAATCTTGGAGAAAGATCCTCCGGCATCAAGTCAGAAAACTCCATCAGTAGTTGCTGCACTTCTATTGGTAATTTCGAATCCACATTCACTGCACTATTTTCACGAGGCATCAAAGCATAAACTATTTTTTCATGCCCCACCTCAAACAAGAACCTAGACATAGAAAGTAGATTGGTGTTATTAACTACCGGGGCATGGATGTTTTCTTCCCTGCGAGGCGCCAAAACAATTTTCTTCTCTTTGATGCTAAGAGAATAAGTATTCTTCCGCCCATCATGGATAACACTGCGATCATACTGCCAAGGTCGTCCCAACAAAAGATGACACGCGTCCATTGATACCACATCACACCAAGCATTATCAAAATATTTTTTTCCAATCGAAAAAGACACTAAACACCGTTTTTCTACCGTTACCTCACTGCCTTTATTTAGCCAAGACAATTTGTATGGTTTGAGATGACAATCCGTCTTCAGTTGCAGTTTCTCGATAGCCTTCTCAGACACTACATTCTCACAACTGCCACTATCAATTATCAGTTTGCAGACTTTATCAACAACTGTGCAGGTTGTGTGGAAAACGTTGGTCCTCAACCAATCGTCCCCTGAGTCGCCCTTAGGAGTCAGCAGGCTCTTTCGAATGACCAGGGTCTCCTGGCCATCTCCATGTAGCACGTCCTCATCTTCACCATCATCATACACAGGCTCCCCAACTTCCTCGAATTGCTCTGTCATATCCTCCTCAATCAGAAGATTTTTATTCTTCTGACCAGCAGGCTTCCTGCAATTAGTCGCCCTATGCTCTTGTTTACCACACCTGAAACACTTAATACTTGAGCTGGAATTGTCTCACTGTAGCTGATAAGCAGGATGAGATTCTTGAGGGCGAACTGGCTGACTACCTGACCACTGGCCTCCTACTCTGCTGTTTCTCCACTGCAAGTGCCCGTTGATATGTCTCAGCAACCGTTCACAATGAATGAAGGCTGAGAACATCCTGCATGGGCTGCCTTAATCCCCCCAAATACCGTACTACCATTTGCTCCTCTGTTTCAGATAAATCATTCGGAGCCACCAGCTGATAGAATTCCTCAGTATAATCATTGACTGATCTTGCGCCTTGTCTCAGTGAATGGAGCCTCTGAAACAAGGTGTGAGTGTAGTGGAAAGGGAGGAAGTGCCCTTTCATCTTCTCCGAGTTAGTAATTTTGGATTTTCCCTGTCGCTCTCGTGAATGCTTCAACTGTTCCCACCATGCAGATGCTCTACCTTTGAGTTTGATGACGACCAGTTTTACTTTGACACGATCTGAAACCTCCTCCACTTCATTCAGCCAATCAATAAATCATTCAGCCTGCAACATACCAGGAAACTCGGGTAGATCCACTCCGAAACCGAGATCCACATGACGATCCTCCTATCCACGATGCTCCCAAACTCGAGCATGATGGTGATACGGGTTTTCGAAACTGGTATCGGAATGGTGACCCTCCACATCATGATTATCGAACTCTTGCTCCGCCAAACGTTGGGTTAACTTCGCAACTTGTCTATGCAAATCTTCAATCATCACATCTTGAATATTACGATCACGGTGTGGGACTTCCTCAATCGGAACCTGCCCTCGATGACCATAACCACGTCCACCAACTATTATAACTGATGGAATTTATCTCCCAAGAAGATGCTGACGCTCTAATGCCAACTGACGCCGGGTAGGATAGTGATTATCCTATTGACTTGTTGTAGAAGATGATTTACAAGAAATAAACGAAAGAAAATGCCCAAAAATCATAGAAAATACTCTGAAATCAACTCAATATTATTAATAATGTTGAATGACCAAAATTAAACCACAACCCGGGTTAAATAGCTGCAAAATACGAAATTATAGGAAAATTACCAAACATGGTGAAATCCCGAAATTACACTAGAATAAACTATTAAGTAAAAGAAGTAGGTTATCAGAAATTTGGTTCAATTCGAGTTTTCAAACATATGAAAAAGGGAAACGAAATATTACCATAAATAGTTAAAAAAAAAAAACTAAAAATTGAATTTCGGAAAAGAAAACAGCAGATTTTGGGCTTTAAATTGACGCCCACCGAGCATAGATAGGTGGCCACAACGTGCGCGCCGCAAAGAGCTTTCCGAATTGGGGTCATAAGAGTGATTCTAATAACCGTAGTCAAAGTTATAGCCAAATTATCAAAGTCGTGTTAAATTCTCTTAATTAAGGAAATAATTGCGATTCACTTCTCATCTTTGTGCCGATCTGCTATCTCATGGTATCTCAACGCCATCATCGTGCAATCTGACAAATCAGCATTACTCGACTCAGATCCTCCTACATCATAATCTTCTTTAAGGCTTGTTAAAATTCTGCAAACCATTTGTCAAGGTCCTTGAAGCATCTCATTTAATTTAAGAGGGGACAAATATCGTTTGAGAACAACGATATCGTGTTCAAGCCTTCATCTTGATATTCTAATTCTAGATTTTATTATTGTTTCTTCTCCAGCTCTCTCTCTTGAATAACGTATTTTCCAACAATCTTTAGTATTATTTTTTAAGTGACTACATGTGAGATAATGAATAGGTCATTACTGGTGATGCATTTTTCATTTTATGGAATTTTATGGACACTGTTTAGACCTATAGATTTCGGGACACTAAATCATAGAATTAGATGGAATTGTTAGTTAAACATTCGAATTCGACTATGCGATTCTGTCCTCTAATGTAAAACCGGGAGAGCATTGGTATCTTAGGGATGTAAATTTTATGTCAGAACTCGCCTAATGTTGATTTTTGTTTCACTGTGCAAATTTCCGGGAAAAGTAAACGAAGGCAGACTCGTTTGCTTTGGTGGTGATGCAGTAGTAGCAGCGGTGATGCTGGTGGTAGGAGATAGACAGGGTGCGTGGGAGATAAAGGGATTTTTCTTTTCAATTTTAATCTTCCAATTATTTATTTGGGATTCGTTTGTACTTTTTTTTGAAAATTTGAGATTGTGATTGTAATTAATTCTTTATATTTTCATTCTTTTATCGCTTTATTTAAAAAGGAGGATATATTTGTCGGGTCATAAGATTTTATTCAGAAAATGGAAGAAAATATAATATTCCAATTGAAGAGGTCATCTAGAGGGGTTTTACGTCAAAATGAAAGGATATGCAGAATTTGGCAATATTAGTAAAGGTCCAGGGTTTTTGTGCCACTTGTTTGAGCCTCTTTTTTTTTTATTAAAATGTATTCTTGAACAGTGATTTGATCTTATTTCAATTGATCATTTTTTAATAAAATAATATTATATGTAAA